GCTTCTGTTATTGTGAAAGAAAATGACTTGGGTAGGCCATCTTCCCTTTTGGCACTGCCTATTTTCCAAAATTCCCTCAATTTGGAAAATTGTAGCTGATATTATAAAAACCAACCTTCTTTATTCATGTAGAATTGTAAGGAACTAGACCTTCCGAAAAAGATATGTGGAAGAAATAGAATAAAAGAAATAACCATAGCTTCTTGTTTGAGAAATGGCCTCGAATTGGAGAAATCAGTTTCTTATAAGCATCTTGATCCACCTTCTCACATTCATAGCTACTGATGTATGAATAAAGGACCAGTAGATCATATTGAAGATTATTTAAACTGCTAGATACCCAAAGGCTATGGGAGTGCCAATTATATTCAAAAACATATTAAAGCTAAACTTTTTGCTTTTTCGTGAAGTTTACCTATATAGGTGGCAAATTTGGATTGTGCATAGGAAAACCTTGGTAGAAATGCCTGGCTAACTTTATTTTTTCGGTAAGTGAAAAATTCATTAATTAAAAGAGGTGCTCCATCGCTTTCATAGATACTTACATGAAAAAAAATCACCAAAAGGAATCAAAAAGAGAGAAGTGAATTTGGTTTATGAAGAGTGCTTGGTCCGTGTTGTCCGTCTTCCTTCAAGGCTAGCTACTCGGACTACAGGAAATACCATTCTATTAGTTAGGTAGTAAGACCCTCAATAGGTAGTAAGCAAGCTGCCTTTAGAGCTTTCAGGCTATGAAAGGTATGCAGATCATCTATTCATATGAGAAAGGTGATCTACCATCCCCAAAGTCACAGTGATCTCTATCAACAATATGCAGTCAAGCCCAAAAGAAACAAGATGAGGACAAACACATTGCAGTAACCTGGGACAGCAGACCAACAAGCAATAAGGAAAAAGCTTGAGTGCGCAGTCATCAAGCATGGCCAAAGCAAAGCAGCCAGCAAGCTCAAGAAAAAGCAAAGCACAGAAAGAGGTATAGATAGAATGAGTAAGTTTAACTATTAATGGTGTGTATGTATCATGGGTTGGGCTTAATTACAAATGGGATAGATATAAAATGTGTAGAATTAAATGGGGGTGTGAATAGAGATTTGTAGGGACGAGAATAGTCCCACTCAATAATATAACATCATGAAAAATGTAACTGATTAGGAGTGTGGGTCAAAAGTCAAAACTAGAGAATATTTTTGTAAAGGTATATTTATCATTTGAGTAGTGAGCCTCAAAGTTAGGAATGCAATAGATGTCAGGGACAAAAAATTTATAATGGAGATAATTGGTGGAGTACTTAAGGTTATAGACTTAGAGTTTCCATGCTTCATTTGCTATTTTACCCTCAAAAATTTACGCACTCATGGTAAGACCAGGAACAATTGGGTATACAAGAAAGTTAAGAAATTTTTATTTCATTTTATTCAATTCAGTTTCAAACATTTAAGCCAAATTTGGATTTAATTTAGATTTGATCTTTGTGCAATGTTCTGGATAATTGTAAGGAGTTGTCTTGTTGGCAAATTTGTTTTGGATTAGGACAAATTTTTACTTATTTTTTGATTGAGGATATGGTATTACAATGAGGGATTTTTGTGTATATGCCCAAATCGTTCAACAATCTTACAATATGATAATTCTGCCCATAATAGACTAACTAACTGTTGCAACTTTTACTTTCACCAACGATCTAATCAGAAGAACAATTGGTTTAGTTGCAGAAATAAAGGGCTTAGTTGCACAAAATTCCATATGTTAATTTTACAATTGGTTTATATAGATCCTTAATTGCTAAATAAATATCTTAATCATTTAAGCATAATCTAAATTGATAGTCTTCATGGTGAACAATAACATATAATTGTTTTGTAATACAAGAACTACAAAGTAATAATAATATTATTATTATTATTATTTTTTCATTTGAGTTTTTCATAAATTATTTGTGGATTAGAAAAAGCATTTTAAAAAAAGTTTTTTTTAATAAAAAAATATTATCAAAAATAGTAAAAGCAATATTAGTACTCAAAATTATTCACGTGCAAAGCACGTATTCATCAACTGATATTAACAAATTCTAAATTACTGAGAATAAAAGAACCTATACCTGGGGCAGAAGACATCCAATCCTCATAATACCCAATCTACTATCTTATTCCAACTAAGTATTACAAAATAATTAATTCTCTATAGGGCCAAGCAATTACTCATAAAAACTTAATTGCAATAAGATGTCAAACATTTATGTATCTTGATATGATCACAAATATGTGTCAATCACTAATCACCAACGGGTCTTTGGTCTAATGGTACTCCTTACCTTGTGAAGACCTTGCCTTCTTGAAGTCAAGGGTTCAAGTTTCCCCTCCCAAAAAAAAAAAAAATCACTAATCAATCATGACTTAAAATGCTTTGGCTAGTCATAAGTCAGTATGATATCTTTATATGATATAATTCATAACTATAAACGAATCTTTAAATTCACATGCAATAATTTTTCTCAAGGACTACACATGCTTCTATCACATCTAACTTGCATATACCATAAGCAAAACTTAATCTAAAGCCATGCTACCACTGGAAAAATATCGGAAGCAAATAGCCTTGAAAGTCACCAAAGCATTGCACATGAAAATGAAGTAATCTCACTGTTCTTAAAATCGTGATCAAGGTACCAGGAAAAATAACAAAACTCAATCCATACATTTGAGCCTTGAAAAACAAGTGACCAAAACAAAGCCAAAAATCTGCTTGGAGCAAGTGTAAGAGTATTTAGGCTTTCACTTCACCCTCTAAACCATGTTTCTTTAGTGGCAATTTTTTTTAATCCATAAATACAAATATTTAATATAATAAAACCCCCGTAAATCATAGTAATTTTGATTTCGAAAATATTGATCTAAAATTCCGATAAATTCGGTCCCGTTTCGATGATGAATTCGATAAAAATAAAACTGCAGCTGACATTCGCCGGAAGCTACTGTTCACTAATTCGAACAAATCCCCTTAATTTTTATTTTATTTTTTTAATTTTAAGCATCCTCTAAGATGATCAGATCCTAAGTCTCAAGATCGAATCTAAGTAGTACACTTTATCGGTAATAATTTGCCAAATACAAACTGATAACATGGTGATGGAACAATCAGTAATTTGGGGTCAGTGTTGGAGTACTGAGGTTGATCGTAAGTCCTCAAGATTTAGTTGACCGTTCTTTCGTACCTGTCAAAGGAAAGGAAGAGTGTGGAATCAGTGAGGTCCCTTCCAAACTGCCTCTTATGCCTGAGTTTGTCTTTAAAAAATTAGAATAATTTTTTTATGAGAGAGAGAGAGAGAGTCTTTCACTCACCTTTAACCCTTATTCGTGAGTGTTTATATAGTAGAGATAGAGAGTTGCTTTGGGTTTAACATCAATGATTAAGGGTAATCATTTGACGGTTGAGTATAAGAAATGCCATCCCCATGCAAACACCTCTCTGGCTGGGAGTTGGCTTCAATACCGAAAAATGAAATTCGGTACAATACCAAAAATTTAAACAGAATGTAGGGTTGACACCTGTATCTATTTAAATTTATCAAAACTTATAACTAGTTTAATTGGTATATATTTAATAAATAAAAAACAAGCCCTACACACTTAAAAAAGAAGAAGATATAATAGAAATTAAAATTAGTTTTAAAAAATGATAATTATTTATCTGATTTAAACCTAAATAAAAAAATGATTAAAAATTTTCAATATCTAAAATTAGTTTTAAAAATTTATAATTATTTATCATATTTAAATGTGAAATAAAAATATAAGAAAAATTCTACAGTGACATTAAATTTTAAAAATATTAGAGATTAGGATTAGATTATTAAGTTTAGAAGGCTAAATTAAAATTAAAGTTTAGCACATTGCTATTATTAAAATGTTACATTATCACAAATTTTTTTGGGTAAAATTGCTATTTTTGGGGGTTATATTTTGGGTTAAGGTAAAATTATTACAACTTTTGTATTTAACGCTAAATAAATTATAAAAAAGTTAAAAAATATGTTAAATTAAAATGGGTAAAATAATTTGGGGGAAAGGTAAAATTATTACAACATTTGTTTTAACGCTAAAAAAATTATAACAAAGTTATCAAATATGTTAAATTAAAATAGGTAAAATAAATTGGGGGAATATGAAATTAATTAATAGTTGAGGGTGTAATATATGAAAAATATGAGGCAAAAATTGAAAAAANAATATGAAACTAATTAATAGTTAAGGGTGTAATATATGAAAAATATGAGGCAAAAATTGAAAAATTATTGAAAATTTTGAGATATAAGTGAAATTTACTAAAGATAAAATCTGGATGCTCAAAGGGATCAATTGCTTGATCGCTGGATCCAAGTGTGATCGGTCACTATAGCGATCACGTTTTCTTCTATTCCTGCAATCGTCGGATGCAATCACGCGATTTGGATCCAAGTTTGATCGCTCACTATAGCGATCAAAATTTTTCTTCTATTCCCCCCAAGCACGGCAAACCTCAAACCCAACTCCTCAAACCCTAAATCAGCCATCAAACTCCAAATCTAACCCTAAATCAGCTATCTAACCCCAAATCTAACCCTAAATTAGCTATCTAACCCCAAATCTAACCCTAAATCAGCGATCTAATCCCAAATCTAAGCCCAAATTCCCATCTTGATTGAATACCCAAAACCCTAAATCAGGTGAGGGCTTCAAAGTTTGGCGTCGTCTCGAAACAGCCTGCATCATGCTTTTCCATCAAAGAAGGGAGAGAAAGGTGCCTGCAACTTGTAGTGTCATAGTTGTCTTACTTGCGTGTAGGGTGTATATTGTCATGAGCATTCGACTCCTCTATTGTAGTTTTTTTTTTGTTTAATTAGCGAAAAAACAAGTTTATTTCGTCATAATTTTTTATACATAGTTGTCTCTGTCTCTCTGAATTTCATAAATTTTTTTATACAAATAGTTGCATAAGGGATGTGTTTTGGGGTAGAACGAATTATGGTTTTTGTGAGTAATGGTTCAAGCAATCCTATCTTCCTCACATCTTCAATTGTTATTGCTCAAAATAATAGATAATTTTTCATGTTATTGCTTTTTTGCATAGATTTTTTGTTGTTACAGCAGAATGACCGATAGAAAGAAATATAGGCCAAAAGTTATGGATACCAGTGAAAAAATGAAGAGGAAGAAAAGCTGTAATGATCCTCTCTCCTCCTCGAAGAAGAAATGTAATCATCCTTCCTCCATGGATCCAACTGCTGATCCCACCTCCACTAATCCCACCTCCTTCAATCTAGTTGATCCCACTGTTAATCATCCACCAAGTTCATCCAACCCCATATGCAATGAGGAAATATCTTTCTTCAACAAAGATTGCAAACAGTGGTATGAGAACTACATTAATTATAGGCCTTTGTTATTGGAGAGGGGTGTTTTACTAGATCAATTAAAAGAGGTAGGATGTGATGTTATTTTTTCTCTTCATCAATGGAATTCTGCAATAGATATCAAGAAGACGGATAAAACATATAATACATTGGTGAAGATATTTTATTCTAATATGCATGATATTGATAGAGATGATTACAAGTTTAAGTCCCTTGTGAGGAACGTAAGTTTTGAAGTAACTCCAGAGTTAGTTTCAAACATATTGGGAGTTCGCCAACTCTTCATTTCTAACAATACCCTTACCTATCCATTCAAGAATTTTAAGGACATACCTAAGCTGAAAGATGTTCATGCAGAAGTTGAGGGTATACCTAATAAATTTAGTGAGAGTGTTGACAATCCAGAATTTTTTCAGCAAGACCTTACTCCCAAATATAGTATGTTAAATCTTATAGTGGGGTACAATATTATACCAAAAGGACATACTGCTAAGTTTGGACTTCATCAAGCTCATCTCTTGTATGTCATTGGAAAGGGTATATGTATAGATTTACCTTGTTTAATAGTTGATGAAATTATTTCGGTACAAGGTATAAAGGATAGGCGACGATGTCTCTCATTCCCAATTTTGATTGCAAAGATTATGGAGGATTGTGGAGTTGTGATTCACTCAAGCGACACTTATTTCACTCCCATGAGTCCAATTTATGGTGGGACAATAAAGAAGAGTTTGGGGCAAGGGAAGAAGAATACAACTCAGCAACCGCAGCCACAAGTCGAGAATGAAGTTGAAGCTGAGGATGATGAAGCCCAAACCCATGATGTCCCAAATTCTTCAACCGCTGGTGTCCCAAATTGTTCCATAACTGGTGTCCCAAATTCTTCCACAGCTAGTCTTCCTCTTGATGCATTGCAGGTATATGGAATGTTGCTGGTACGATTGACTAGAAAGATGGAGGAATTTGAAAATTCTCAAAATAAAATAAAGGATACTCAAAATGAAATAAAGGAGTCTCTGAAGAGGATGGATAGTAGGTTGGATAGAATTGAGTCTATTTTTATGAAAAGCAAAGAAATAACTATGAAGTGATAATTGTATGTAATTGTAGTTGTTGGTTTTTGATACAATAGTTGAAGTAGTAGTAGTGACAATTGTATGTAATTATAGTTGAACTAGCAGTAGTGTTTTTGTCAAAAATCTAAAATATCTTTGTTCTTTATACATAAAATGAGAATGGTAATAGTTGTGATAAGCATGGTTGTGGTAATTTAGTACTAAGATTTTCGAGCAGTTGAAAATTGGAATGGATTGGTATGCTGGAATGAAGATGGCAGAATGGAGTTGGTGCTTTGCTGCAGTCTGTTCTGTGTAATGGTGCAGTTGACTGAGCAGCTAAACTAGGCTGGTTTGCTGGGATTAAGTTGGTAGGATGTTATCCAGCAGTTTCAGGAATGCTACATTTGTACAGAAAACTTGTTTTGCTTTGTTGTTCTGTTTTATGTTATAAATCAGAAATACAGTTTTCTAGTTTTGCGATTTTATGTTAAAACAGATTCTGTTTTTTCGGTTAAATAGTTTCTGTTTTTTTTATTCTTGTAATTTTGAGATTTATGCAATAAAATTTGAGATTTAAAAAAAAAAAATCCCTTGATCCCACTATTGACCTACTGCACCTATCGATGTGAAGCTATTGATAGCTACTCTTGCTTACCTAATCCCAATCTTGATCGCAAACCTCACTGGATCCCATTCTTGATCGATCAAGGATCGCTAACCTCAATTGATCCAACTGTTGATCGCTAAATTGATCTGATCCACTTGATTGATGGCAAACATGCACTTGATCCATGATTGCTACTTGATCCCAATCTTGATTGCTTCCCCGATCTTGATCGCTAAATGCGGTAAAAAAAGTGGTAATATTAACCTCAAAAATGGTAATAGTAACTAAATAATGGTAATATTAACAAAAAAAAAGTGGTATTTACCTAAAAGTGTAATCCTAACCAAAAAAGTTGTAATGTTAATTAAAAGTTTGGTAATGTTAACCAAAAGAATTGTAATGTTAACCAAAAAAATGTAATCTTAACCAAAAGTAATGTTAACAATGTAATGTTAACCAAAAAATAACCAATAAAATAGTCTTACCTCAACATGTAATCTTACCTAAAAGAGTTGTACTCTTAACCAAAACAGTGGTAATTTTAACCAAAAAAATTGTAATGTTATCCAAAACTGTGGTACTCTTAATTAAAATAGTAGTAATGTCTGCGAAAATAGTGGTAATGTTAACCAAAAGAGTGGTACTATTAAGCAAAATAGTGGTAATCTTAACAAAAAAAGTGATAATATTATCCAAAATAGAGATACTCTTAACCAAAAAAATAATGGTACTCTTACATCAACATTTGTAATCTTAAAGAAAAAAAATGGTAATCTTAATCAAAAGAATTGTAATGTTAACTAAAAAAGTGTAATCTTAACCAAAAGTAATGTTAACCTAATCAATGGTAATGTTAACCAAAAAATAACCAATAAAATGGTCTTACCTGAATATGTAATCTTACATAAAAGAGTGGTACTCTTACAAAACAGTGGTAATATTAACCAAAAAAGTGACAATCTTATCCAAAATAGTGGTATCGTAACCCAAATAGTGGTAATGTCTATGAAAATTGTGGTAATGTTAATCAAAAGAGTTGTACTCTTAACCAAAATAGTGGTAATGTTAACAAAAAAAGTGATAATATTATCCAAAATAAAGGTACTTTTAACCAAAATAGTGGTAATCTTGCCTCAAATAATGGGCTTTTTATGAAAAAAAATGGTACTCTTAACCAAAAAAAATGGTACTCTTACCTCAACAATGGTAATCTTAAAGAAAAAAATAGTAATCTTAATCAAAAGAATTGTAATGTTAACCAAAAAAGTGTAATTTTAACCAAAAGTAATGTTAACCTAATCAATGGTAATGTTAACCAATAAAATGGTTTTACCTGAACATGTAATCTTACATAAAAGAGTGGTACTCTTAACCAAAATAGTGGTAATCTTAACCAAAAGAGAGGTACTCTTAACCAAAATAGTGGTAATTTTAACCAAAAAATTGACAATATTATCCAAAACAGAGGAACTCTTAACAAAAATAGTGGTAATCTTGCCTCAAATAATGGGTATTTTTACCAAAAAAGTGGTATTGTTACAAAATAAAAGTGATAATATTTCACAAAAAAAGATGTATTCTTTGATCCAAAAAAGGTGTATTCTAAGCCCAAGAAATTTGTATTTTAACCCAAAAATGGTAATGTTAACATAAAAAGTGGTAATCTAACCTAAAAAATAGTAATCTTACACTAAAAAGTAATAATCTTGCCTCAAATAAATGGTAACCTTATTAAAAAAAGTGGTATTTTACAAAATAAAGGTGATAATGTTATACCCAAAAAGTCTTACTCTTACACCCAAAAAAGTTGTATTCTAACCCAAAAACAACAAGGGAATGTTAACAAAAAAAAAGTGGTAATCTTGCCTCAAATAATGGGTAATCTAATCTCTTGTGGAAATGGAGGATTCCTATAGGGAAGGAAATGCATTTGCAGACTCTTTCGCCATCCAAAGAGTGTGACAATGCTTCTCATACTCTTGCTTCCCCTTTCACTCTCAATCTTCATACGAGACAACTTTTACTGCAAGATCAATGACAAATTAAATCGATGCGGTCTAAGATTAAAGTTCTCTATAGATTCAACGTCAAATTAAATCTAACAATGTCAAAAAATTGCTAAACCAATAAATGTTGGACAGTAAAAGTATTTTTACAACAAAGGCCTTTCGCTTTAAGTAATCCGAAAATGTATTTGTTGCATAGACTATCATGAATAAAACTTTTCATTGTATGGAAAACATATCATGGAACACCAAATTGTTACCAGCACATTAACTTAACCCTCACAGACATATTGATTGGTTGTGTTTAATGAGGAAGATACTACTATCACAACGACAATGAAAAAGAATTTCAGCATGCATAATGTATAAGTTTCATTTAATACATAAGTTGAATGGTCAGTAGGAATGAGCATGTTATTGGTGTGTTGGCACAATTAAGCATGATCTGACAAAATATCATCCAGGAAGAAAAGGCCAGATAGAAATTTTGTAATTAAAGTTAATCCAATATCAGGGGAGTCAAAAGTACAAAGCTTAGAACAATCAGAGCAAGGAAGTGTCCCTTCTCCAGTAGGCAACACCTCCTTTACTCCCACCGCTGCTGCCCCAAACTCAAACAACTTGATAGGGGAAGATGGAGAAGACATGCTAGTATTCAAGCTGCAATGACAAGGAGCAGACTTTGCACAAAAAAAAATCAATCTTGGGCATCTATCAATTACCAGCAATTGTTATTTTTGGAATGCTGGAATGCTCAAAATAGCTGCTATTGAAATGTGCTGGAATGCTCAAAATAGCTACTACACATTGCTCATCTTGGCTCTCTTAGCTACTATTCACGTGACTGCATCGAGGGTAAGGTAAAAACTTCCCCCAAGCTAGGTTTAATTAAATTTTTAATCAAAAATATTCTCTCGCAAGTTCTCCAAAAAAAAATAAGGGTATATCTAAGTGGAAAAAAACTTGGAATGGAGAATGTAAATTAAACCTTTTCATTCAAAAGGCAAAAAAAGTAAAATTTCATCAACCCATCTTCCTCCATGATCTGGGTGCCCACTATGATAGCAAAAATTTATGGTTGACAATGGTGAAAAAATAAAATTTGTGGGATAAAATTTATAATTTTTGTAATTACCTCCATTTTACTGAAATTAGTGTTGGTGTATTGTGATTGAATAGTAGAATCAAAGCTTGACATTCCATCATAAAATAACAAGGAATGAGTACATATGAAAAAATATATAAACATCCAAAGAGTATTATATGAACCTGATAGTTGAGGATACACTCATTGACAAAGGGAATGCAACGGTCATCCTTTTTCGATGATGGCATAGATTGTTGCGATCCACCATGCTGTGAAAAAGGCATGTGGGGTGGCTAGTCTGATCCACTAAGTTGTAAAAAGGGAATGTCCCGTGGTTGTTGTGATCCAACTGGTTGTGAAAAAGACATGTCCTTGAATGGATCATTGGATTGAGACATTAAGAGTGGACATTTTCTAACAGTATAGCCAGTGCCCCTGCATTTACTACATCTTCATGGGTTGAGTGGAATATTCTTTTGTGCATGACTGTGAGTACCCTTGGTTTTTTCAATCTTTGGATCATTCACACCGAATTGTGTAGTTATCACATTTGCATCGTGTTTGCCAAGTGACTCATGACGGGCTTTAAGAAGAGAAGTTCTTTATTGCACCATACTCCTCAGGTCATTTGAGTCTGAGAGCGACTGTGAAGCGTAATAACACATTTGGCTGCACATTGACATAAGTCCAGCATAACGCGTAGGAATTGACACATCCGGCTGCACATTACCACATTCGTGTGCACATGTATACCCAGCTTTTGTTTTTATTGTCCACCTGTCCATCACCGTGGAATGAGGAAACTCTTGTATGTGCTCATACTTCATGACCGCGATCATGTGAGAGCATGGAATCCCAAAAGACTCAAATTTCATGCAATTGCATTTAAACGCATGAATTTGAGGATAATATTCCACAATCCACCTTGATTGTGGTTTTATGAATTGAGACAAATAGTAACTCCGATGTCTATCAATCGCGATCTTATCCACGACAAAAAAATACAACTTCTTCTTGTATCTTATCACAGACCTTGAAGAAAATCTTTCTGGTAAATAGAGCAGCAACATGTTGCTCTAAGCATCTCAGTGTTGTCTGCATCACTGGCCTAGAATGTTCCGACTCAAAGTCATCATTGGCCTCACACTCCCTGATCCTTGCCAAGCCCCTGTCATAGTGCCTAACAAACTCGAATAATCGTTGGCTTGTTTTTAGAAAGCGTTTTAGGTAGACATTCATACTCTCCGATCATTGCGTGCTTTTTAAGCCGACAAAAAATTTTCCTCGCAAGTACGCTTCGAGCCATTTGAATTGCTTTGCATAAACTTTCGCTATCCAATTGTTATCCTCCAGTCCAAATGATTCGACTATTGATTTTCACTCATTTTCAAATTCTTTCGGAGTACATCGACCACACATGCACCTCTTGAATGCATTGATAAAATTTTTAGCATTTATATTTGTGAAGGAATTTCTTGACAAATGTCATCTACATAAGCGATGCATCGCTTGAGGAAATACTCTTTCAATTGCATCAACCATTGCTTTATCTCCATCGGTAATAACAGATACAGGCATCTTGTTTTCCATTGCATGAAGAAAGGTATTCAATACCCACACATATGTATCAATTGTCTCATCTGAAAGTAATGCGCACCCAAATATAGTTGTAGCGTTGTGGTGGTTGACACCCGAAAATATCACAAAAGGCTTCTTATATGCATTCATTCGATATGTAGTATCAAATGTCATCACCTCACCAAAGCACTTGTAATCTAGTCGAGTTGTCAAATCAGCCCAAAACAAGCAATTCAACGAATTGTCATCGGCGACAGAATACTTGAAATAGAATTGCGGGTCCAACTCTTCCTTCGCGCTCAAGTAGGCTAATGCGCCCTTCGTATCGCCATCTCTCAACTCTTCTCTACGGTAGGATGTCATGTCATTGTAGAGATCCTTTGTGGTAAACCCAACATTTTGATATCCTCCAGATTGNGTGGTTTTATGAATTGAGACAAATAGTAACTCCGATGTCTATCAATCGCGATCTTATCCACGACAAAAAAATACAACTTCTTCTTGTATCTTATCACAGACCTTGAAGAAAATCTTTCTGGTAAATAGAGCAGCAACATGTTGCTCTAAGCATCTCAGTGTTGTCTGCATCACTGGCCTAGAATGTTCCGACTCAAAGTCATCATTGGCCTCACACTCCCTGATCCTTGCCAAGCCCCTGTCATAGTGCCTAACAAACTCGAATAATCGTTGGCTTGTTTTTAGAAAGCGTTTTAGGTAGACATTCATACTCTCCGATCATTGCGTGCTTTTTAAGCCGACAAAAAATTTTCCTCGCAAGTACGCTTCGAGCCATTTGAATTGCTTTGCATAAACTTTCGCTATCCAATTGTTATCCTCCAGTCCAAATGATTCGACTATTGATTTTCACTCATTTTCAAATTCTTTCGGAGTACATCGACCACACATGCACCTCTTGAATGCATTGATAAAATTTTTAGCATTTATATTTGTGAAGGAATTTCTTGACAAATGTCATCTACATAAGCGATGCATCGCTTGAGGAAATACTCTTTCAATTGCATCAACCATTGCTTTATCTCCATCGGTAATAACAGATACAGGCATCTTGTTTTCCATTGCATGAAGAAAGGTATTCAATACCCACACATATGTATCAATTGTCTCATCTGAAAGTAATGCGCACCCAAATATAGTTGTAGCGTTGTGGTGGTTGACACCCGAAAATATCACAAAAGGCTTCTTATATGCATTCATTCGATATGTAGTATCAAATGTCATCACCTCACCAAAGCACTTGTAATCTAGTCGAGTTGTCAAATCAGCCCAAAACAAGCAATTCAACGAATTGTCATCGGCGACAGAATACTTGAAATAGAATTGCGGGTCCAACTCTTCCTTCGCGCTCAAGTAGGCTAATGCGCCCTTCGTATCGCCATCTCTCAACTCTTCTCTACGGTAGGATGTCATGTCATTGTAGAGATCCTTTGTGGTAAACCCAACATTTTGATATCCTCCAGATTGTTGCAACATGAAATCCCTCATATGACTTGTACGCATACCAACATTGTGCAATGATATAGCTTGTGCTCTGTCGGGGCTCTTGACACGCCTGTGTGATCGGAGAAATGTAATACCACGTTGTGGAACCAATTCATGGTTGTGGTGTATGACAAACTCTTTTACAACCCATTTTTGTGTCTTCCTATCAAACTTCACTCGAAATGTTGCCTTGCATCCAAGTTGTGTTAACCCTCGTGGTTCCCTTGATCGCTCTACGCGTTCTGCATTATTTGTCGACCGATAGCCTTCTCTCAAACAAACCCACCATCTTGAAATTGGCATGTTGTTCTTGTCATGCATTAGGTCATCCTTACGAACACTGAAACCCGCATATCTACCATATGTGTTATAAAATTGTCCAGCATCTTCATGTGATATAAATGTCATTGCAAGGACTTTTGTAGATGTTAAATCTTCCCACATTGCAACGTCTTCAATTGATGTTAACTCATCCTTGTTTGCAATGACTTCATTGGATGCTAACTCATCCTTGCTTTTCTGATGGAAGTCCAAATATTCATCATTTTCATAATCATGCAATATGTCATCTGCTATATCACTATTTAAGTCTAAAACAACCTGCTTTCCTTTTTCCATTTGTGTTGATTATACCTAAAGACAAATAATTAACAATTTCATCTTTAAGAAATGACTAATATTTCTACCTATCAAAATAAGAAGATAAGAGTTGTGGACATAACACAAGTAATAACACACATCTACGGAGAAAAAATCGTTAAATACTTACCTTGTTTGATTTGAATCTTCCAATACCTTGAATTCCACTTAATTGCATGGATGATCAAGACAAGATCGTTAAATATGTTGGATTGAAGTTAGATGGGTGATGAAATAATAGAGATTTTAAGATTGATGAAGAAATGCAGGCTATAATTGGTGATTGACTTCCGTTTTTTATTGTGTTAAGAAAATAATAGTAGTTGGAACAATAGTTTTACGTTTACTTCACAATTAAATATCATTTATTACACAAAAATTATATTACCTACTTAAAAACAGATTTTTTTTTACAACTATTATGTCAAAATTAGAACATCTTGGGCGGATTGCAAATGTTGGGTGATTTTCAAAGATGTGCAGTATATTATAATCATTGTTTTCTTATGTTCACATAACATGTCAATTTTGAAATTATGTCATACAAAAATTTTTAATTTATTATTGATTTTTTATAAAAAATGGACTTTAATAAAGGTTAAAAGTTAGATGAATTAAAATTTACTATTCTATTTAATATAACTAAATTTTTGTTGGATATAATATAATCTAAAATTAGTCTTGATTTGATATTAAATTCAATATAAATTTAGTTTTAAATTAAATAAATATTATTTCAATATTTCGAAATTAAATCTCATTTTGTATACTTATAGTTCATTAATTTAAATAGCAATTTAGTGAATGTGTTGAAGTTGAATGTCCATTAATTGGATGATGTATGATGTATTAAAGATTGTTACCTTTAAAATGGTAAGAACACAAATTAATCAAATATTAAATAATTAACATGTGATAAAATTGTTTGATGTAAGCTTTGGGGGTGGGGAATGATATTCAACTTCCTAGTTTTTGACTTCACAGAATTGAAAAAGTGAAGATCATTCAAGTGGTACATTTACCACTTATTTGGTAAAGATTGTTACCTTTAAAATGGTAAGAACACAAATTAATCAAATATTAAATAATTAAAAATGTGATAAAATTGTTTGACGTAAGCTTTGGGGGTGGGGAATGATATTCAACTTCCTAGTTTTTGACTTCATAGAATTGAAAAAGTGAAGATCATTCACGTGGTACGTTTACCACTTATTTGGTAAAGATTGTTACCTTAAAATGGTAAGAACACAAATTAATCAAATATTAAATAATTAAACATGTGATAAAAATGTTTAATGTATGCTTTGGGGGTGGGGAATGACATTCAACTTCCTCTGTGTTTTACCATATTCAACTTCCTACAGAATTGAAAAAGTAAATATCATTCAACATTCTCTCCATTATGGATCTTTAAAAGTGGGAGTAATAAGTTCAGCACATATTGGGGGTAAAATTATCACTCTTTTGGTTAATATTACAATTATTATTATAACAAAGTCACTAATTTGTGGTTAATATTACAACTTAGGGGTACGTTTACCACTTATTTGGTAAAGATTGTTACCTTTAAAATGGTTAGAACACATAATTGAATGTTAATTTGATTACAAAACTTAATTTTTTTACATCTCATAATTGAATGTTAATTTGATTAAATTAAATCTCATTTTGTATACTTTTCATAGTCATACGAAATATAAGTGTTGATAGATTCAACTTTTAATTTATTGTTTTTTTTTTGGGAAAATTTATCAAGTGTACCTCATTTTGGTTAATATTTATTTGTAATTTATGGGGGATATTACAATTTTTTTTAAAAAGATTACCATTATTTTGGAAAAGGATACCACAAATTGGGGTTAGGTTTAGCAATTTTTTTGGGCAAGATTACCATTTTTTTGGTTCATATTATATTTATTAAGTTAACCATTAAGATCACCAATTTTTAGATAATATTACAACCTTGTACATTTACCAGTTTATTATTTTTGGTTAGGTATGATTTAGATTTATTTAATTTTATTTGTTTTATGCTAGGATTTTATAGATATTTTTTCAGTTAAATATGTTACGAATTTATTTATTTTATTGTAACACTTTTTTTATTAAACGATTTATTCAAAAATTTTCAAATAATTGTTTCCAATTTTCAATTTTTCGGAGGCTTCCCTAACACTCTATGCACGTCTCCTAAGAAACCAACTCTTCACTTCTCTCTCTCTTCCCAGCCCCATCACTTCCCTTCCCCGATACTCTCTCTCTCTCTCCTATCTTTCTCTTTCTCTGTCTTGCAGCACACACGACTCAATAGCAACCTTCCGCCCTTCTCTCTCCAAAACTCTTCTCTGATTCCTTTTTTTGTGATCTTCTTTCTGAGGTATTTTTTTACAATTTATTTTTGATTTTTGTTGTTTAATCTTTCGATTCGTTGCTTTTCATTGTTTAATCTTCTGTTACTTATTGATACTTTTAAATTTAGGGGAGGGTTCAAGTGATTGATCTAAGGTGGTGATTTTTTGTTTGGATCTTTGTTGTGTACAAAGCCATGATTTTTTGTTTGGATCTTTTTTGTGTACAAAGCCTCTATGTTTCTACAATGTGAAGTATCGACTCTTGCTGGAAAAATCCTTAAATTCCTGCTAATAGTTTGATTATGTTTCTTGGGTATTATTGGTGTTGTTTTGATATGCAAGCATGCATTAAAGATGCAAGCATGCATTAAAGATGCATATGCTATTATGGGCAATGGACAATGCCGACCGTATAATGCTTAATTCGTTGTCATACACACCGTTTGCTTGTGGGTTGGGAAGACAGTGACACTACTTCAACATGGTACCCGTTTTTTAACTTAGGGGGCCTTTATATTCTGTTTTTTCATAATTTTTCCTTAGATTATATATTTTTTTGAACATCATTAGCAGATTAATTAGTGAGGTATTGACTTAGTTATAGTAACTTGGATTGAATAACGGTCCATTCTTATTTAACTATAAAGCTTTTGTTCATATGATGGTACATTTTATTTACAAATCGTTGAGATTGTATTGTGAGATATTATAGTCTTCAACTTTTCAAATATAGAGTCCCACTATATTGGGTTATCATAATTTTTGGCATTTTGCATTTCAGTTGGTTGATGTTGGAGTCCATTACTATCAACATAAGTTAAAAACGTTTGAAAGTAATTGAGGTCTCAACATTTTTTAATTACTGCTTTAATTTTTTTATTTTGTATCTAGAGTTAAAAATTTATAAATTGCCTACACAAAATACTCTGGCTGAATTTGAAGGTTATACATTGTTTGAGTGATGAGATTTAGAGTGACTGGAAATGATTAAAAAGGGAAAAAAGAACTCGTTTCTTCATTTATTTCATCTCTCCAAGGCCCCTTTTTTCATTTAAATTAATGCATTTTTAGTAAAATTCAATTCAATGATCAGAAATGTCTAGACATGTGATTTTCTTTTACTCAATAGTCAATTTGTCATTTCTATCATCTTTGTTTCTTCATTGATGTTGGTACTAATTTCATGTATACATTTCTACCTTTTGAGAACTTATCAAATTCATGCTTATTAGTTCTATCGAATTTGATTTTCTATTAGCATGTAGCAAGTTGAGGAGGGGTCCTATAATCTGCCAAATGCTTAATTAATTGTCAACTTGTGTTTGAATACCTTCCAAATATATATAATTAAAGCTTCACATACATTTAGAGCTTTGCATTATGCTCGTTGAGTCAATTTTTGGCTTTTGCTTAATGAAAACAAGTATCTTACACATATTTCATGACTCTATTTCATAAAATTCAGATTCTGTCAATTTTTGGACATGGTTCTGTTAGACAAAATTGTGTAATAGTTAGACATTTGCAGGTGTCTTTTTGGGTATGACAATTAATTGTGTATACATGTTGAAAATTGTCTAGGGGCCCATTTTTGGTGTAAACTCTAGCCAAATTTTTCAAAAATTTATTGAGGATTAACTTTTTGTGAAATAAATTTCTAATTTTTGCTGTTTTTTTTTTGTTTTTGGTTATAGGTTATTACTATTGTGTATACAAGCAGGAAATTTCTAGATTCCTATTTTGAGAGAAAACTATCCATTTTGTTTAACCAAAAAAGTGATACTCATAACCAAACTAGTGGTGGTGATGTTAACCAAAAAAGTGATAATCTTTACCAAAAGAGTGGTAATCTTTACCATAAAAATGGTAATGTTAACCACAAAAGTGGTATTCTTAACAAAAAAAATGGTAATGTACACATGGTTTCACTTCAAGGTCGCTCTTTTTGGTATGTGTGTAGCTTTTCAATATGGTAAATTTTTTTTGTGATTTGTCGATAATTAATTTGTTCATTCATATTATTATTATTATTATTTTGGTTTTTTGCAGCTTTAGACATATAGAGGAGCAAATATTGCAGTTTTATACAAATAGGCAGGTATATTGCAACTTGGCAACTAATCTTGATCTCTAAATATAACACTTTCAATACATACTAGAAACAATATTAAACATTAGTCTAAATATTTTAATACACATTCGAAACATTTTCATCATTGGTGCTTGATTGGTGGTTAAATTTGATTGAGTTATACTTTTCCATGGGTTTTTATGCATTTGTTTATATCTTGGATTGCTTTGATATTCAAGGAAGATGGTTGTTTTTCTATTGTTGATATTATTATGTTGGTATGGTAGTTGATGAATGGTTTTGTTATGATAGAAGCAGGATGTGATGGTGAGTTTGATAAATGGTTTGGGTCGTGTCTTCTTAAATCATGTGTTTCTTAATCATAAGCAGGTTTGTTTGTATTAGAACACTTTCAAAGTGTACAAATATATGCAATGTGAGCATTTTGAAAGGCATTGTACATTTCACCATTTGTTTTGCTTAAATCATCATACATTATATGAAAACCTAGCTTTAATAATCAAACCCAATAAAATTTTATGCAAAGTTGAGGAATGCCATGCGGGGTTCATAATTTATTTATTAAATAATTATCATTTTATAAATGGTGGATTGTGTAATTAGTGTTTTATAGATTGTTTGCACAATTTGATGTATTTTTTTGGGTCCTGTTTTTATGAGAAATAAAAATTAATTTTTTAAGATATTGATGATTTATAATTTAGCATAACATGGAAATTTTTTTAATTACACAAGTTTACAAATTCTTGTAAGTTAACTTTTGAATAAATATTTATGGGTGCTATTGTTAGTTGTAATTAAATAAGTAGTTTCAAGAATATGAATTTTATGCATTTTAAATTTAAATTTATGGGCTTTGATTATTAAAGTTAGGTTTCTCCATCTCTTTATTGAAATTTGTTTCCACGAAAATTTTCGTATAGGTAATATTTTATTCAGTATGCATGCGAAGTGCGGGTGTGTTAAAGATATAGTTTAAGCTTTCAGCTTAGCTCATCCCTATGTTCAGTCTTTAATGTTTTTGTATTTATGCTCAATGTTCCATTTCTTTAAATTATAAAGTCGCTAGTTAGGTTTATATATGGTATTGAAGGCATAGAAAGAACATATAAAAATTAAGAAGGCATATTGACATTTGTATGCTTTTGAAAATATTTGTATTACGTGATTAGTGCTCGATTTTGTGTTGAACAATATTTTCAGGGATGGATTTTGTCCACTTTTTTTAAAAAAATTGTTGTCACGATTTGATATAGTGACTTAATTCTTTGGGATGTTCGATTGTTATATTGTACGTGCATGAACGCACGGTTTATTACTATTGTGTATACAAGCAGAAAATTTCTAGATTCCTATTTTGAGAGAAAACTATCCAATGTTTGCGGGCCTTGAATGGATCTCCAATGTCTTTCAAATAATTACTGACATTATTGTTTAGAAGTTTGTATTAGTTTTAGGCACAAAATAATTATAATAACCATTTTAGTTTCAAATGTTTAACATAAGCGATAATTCCACACATGGGTGGATATCACGTTATGTTCCCCAAATTCATTCTATCGCATTTTCCCTAGTGGAAGATCATGAGTTTCTAAGTTAGCAAATTTAAGGCAGGGTTTGTATTTTTAACTTAAATTTTTTCTTATCATGTAGGTGAATTGGCAGCATTTTCTTCTAGGGGGAACTTCACTCACCATAGAATCACGGTAAACACCGATGAGGTCATCAAGTTAGTACACAATAAATTGAATTTGAATTATTACAATATAAGTATGGCTTCATTATAATTTTTTTAAAACTTCATTTATATTTTAATGTGTTAACATCTGTAAGTGCATGTTACAGGGCGAAGAAGAGGTCAGGAAAAACACAAGAAAAGCCAGAGCTTGTTCCTTTCTGGTGGTGGCTCCAGCTTTATTATCAAGAGCATATTTAAGATCCCCTAACTGAGCTCGGAAATCCCTCATCTGGTCTCCCCAGTTGAGGGAGTTATTTGGTACCTCTTCTTGTTTACGTGTTTGTTATGCCCACCTCTCATTATTTGGGCTTGGGAGTGTTCCTTCATTTCGCCGAGGATGAGAAATTCTGGTTATTTAGAACAGCTGGGATCAGAGGGTTAGGTGGTTGATGTTGCTGCTAGAGGATAACTTTAAGGGCTTTAGCTATCTCTTTCACTTGCTGGGTTAACCCTATATACGTTCAACTGAGGCTCTATCGCCAGGTTGATTTTCAAGAAGGTTAATGTTTTTGACATTCTTGCCAGTCGGGTCATTTTTGCTCGTGTTTGGTAGAGTGGGCATGGTTCAATTATTGTGAAAGAGGTTGGAATATTCAAAGTTAGTGACAAAAGGATCAGCAATTCAAAAAAAAAATTGAACATTAAGAACCCATTACACTCAACATTTTTAGTGACAAAAGGATCAGTTATCCCAAAAAGAGGGAACATTAAGAACCCATTACATTAAACATATTTAGTTCCAAAAGGATGTTACTATCATTAGTACATAAAATAGCGAACATTAAACCCTAACACAATAGTTCTTGGATTCCACCACTAGTCACTGAGCTCCGCCTATGGAATGTGAGTCTTGTGTTGTGGCTAGTGCATTCATTGTATTCCTCCTCACAACCAACTTATCTGTCCTACTTGAAACATTGGTTGCATCAGCTCCTACACCAAGCACTCCATCTGACACAGCTCTTGCACAAGTCACTCCACTTGACACTGCTCCTGTATCAGTCCCTCCATCTAACACTGCTCCTACACTAGTCACTCCACTTCACACTACTCCTACACTTGCACAATTTCATTTCTTTCTTGCACTTTCCCTTTCAACTTCCTGGTTGGCTCTTTTTCTTCTTACATTAACGCCTACATCAGCCCTTGCACTTGTTCCAACAGTTGAAGCAGCCCCTGTACCAGCCTTAGCACTTGCCCCTACACCTGTCACAGCACCTGTGGCTAGATTTATCATAGCAACTCTACAACTTCTCTTGTTATGTCCCCTCACACCAAATTTTCCACACCTTAAAGAATTCTAGAACATTCTTAGCTTATTTGGATTTGAATTGGTTAATTCCTCTGGTTCCTTTCTTCTTATTAGTGTCTTTGTCCTCCTTGGTTGTTTATGGTAAAATGGAGGTAAATGGGGAGTCTCAGTGCATGTAGGGCATAGCTTCCACCCATTAATGGGATTAATATTGCTCCCATAAGCCTTCATATATGTCTCTTTGTGATACCACTTATGAACATACTTCTCAGGCTTATCCCCCTTGTATGCAATAGCCTAAATGGCATGTGAACATGGAATGCCATTCAAATCCCATTTTCCCTCCTTGATTTCATATTCCCTTACTGCTGCCTTCAACTTAGTAGCTATTCCAAAGAACATTCCTAGATTGAAAGATGGGTTTTTCATGTCAATGTCAGCTCTAAACTCAGGGAACTTTGGCTTCCTCACATTGACACCATCATCTTGTGAAGATGAATCATCAAAACTACATAATTCATTTGAATTTGCATAGTCAAAATGCACTTCATCTTCATTTGTATCACGAAAAGCTGAAGTACCATCTTTTACACCCTTACCCTTATCACCTACACCAGCACATTCAACATCTTTATCCACGTATGTCTCTTACAATCTGTCATCCTCATCAAAGTCATATTCACTATCATAAAACTTAGAATAATCAGAACTGTCACTATCCCTGATTGAATCCCTTGTTTTCTCCTCAGGCATGTCATTTTCCTCCTCAAAGGTTCTATATGTTGCTTCATTGACTCTTAGTCCTCCCCTCCATTGACTCTCTGGTTCCCTACTCCTCCATTGAGTCTCTCACCCTCTCCACCATCATTTCTCTGTTCTTCTCATCCGACATCACCACTTGAATTGACTTCAAAATACTCCAACAAATTTTTTCTATTATTGCAACCTACTTGAGGACTTCAGTAACCTAACTATGTTCTAATCCATCCGCATCATCTTCATTAATCTCCCCAATTACAACTGAATGTCTATTCCCAAAATAATCTTCTGTGAAATCTTGGCCATCAATAACATCCTCGATTGTTCGATGTTCTAGGTAAACTTCAGCAACAGTGTTGGGTACAAGGTATTGAAGACAGTTAATACTTGTGTGTCGTAAAACAAACAAATTAACCTAGAATCCAAGTCCTTTCCTGGTATACAGTAATGACACCTTAGAATCTCCACTTCGTATCCTAACTTCTTAGCCATTTTGTTAAGCTCCAGCAACATGTAATCTAGGTGTTTGTGATGGAAGTATTCAACCTTACCCCCTCATAAACCATCTTTGGGTTCTTTCAAAATTCACCATTATGGTGCAATATCAAAGTAAAGTATTTTGAATCTTTCTCTGCAACAAAACAAAAAATTGGGAGACCACATGTTACTAAGTTTTATATTAGTGCATAAAGGACCCACTACACCAACACAACATCAACATCAGTTTTATATTAGTTCCTTTTTAGGGCAATGCATGTAACAAATTTTTAGGGCCATGCATGAACTCAAATCTATTGTTCTTTGCATGCAACTAGTTGCCATAATACGATTTTTAGAAAAAAAAAATGCAAAATGTCATCTTCAAACAAAATTGAAAACAGTAAATTTTTACCATAATATTCAATAAAACTATCGTCCTCCAATTGATACTCATTGAACCTTCCAGTCATTATTATCAACCTTCAATTCTCTAAAGATGATGCACTTCAGCGCTGCAATCCCCAATTTCCCCAATTTCATTTAGAACCCTAGATAAATGAAATTGGTCACTCTTGAATCGTTTGAATTGGCGATTTAATGTTTCATAGTGTGCATCGCATGTGGCCTAAAGGTGGTTGGATGGGCGAGAAAATAAGGAGAAAAGACAATGATGCGCTTCTATTTTCTACACGTGTTCTTTTCCGTTAGAGATTTGGATGACAGCTAGGAAGAATGAAAACTTTGTTCAAAATGTAAAGTTTGAGAGCTAAAATGACTAAATTGGGACTTTATGGAAGAAATTGTAATAAGTGGCAAGCTTCAGGGACCATTGGTACAATTAACCCTTTAAGGGATTTGCCTTTCCACTGACCAAGTGAATTATTTGTAACCAGAGTGAGAAGAATCAAGAGGCCATAGAGTGACTAAGCACTTTGTTCCATATTCCACTAGTGAAAGGACAGTCAACAACAAATGGTTGATGCTTTCCTTTGTAAGTTTGTAGAAAACACATGTTGTATTAATGTGTTGCATAAGTCTTGATCTGATCCTTCATACCAAGTTTTCCATGTATGGCAACCCAAAGAACAAAAGACATCCTAGGAATGTATCGAGGATACCATATTAGCATATGCAAGAAACCTTAGGGCCAGAGGTATAAATGAATTTAATGCTGAATGAGTTGAATAATCACCACTGGAATTAGGGAGCCATTTAATTTTTTCCTCTTGCAAAGAATTGGGAGAATAAGATGGCATTGAGTTTTGAATCTGTAGAAGTTTAGGAGTGACTAGAGAAGACCATGCCTATCTGGTACTATTAACAATGGTTTCCATCTTTGCATTAGATGGCAGATCAATGATTCTCCCAGAAAATTTAAGCATAAGAAGCCCATGTGGTTGCCAATTATCATGTCATACATGAGTATATTTAACATTTCCAATAGTATGGAGGATTAATGGCCTAGCAGCTTGCTTGAGTTTCAGAAGCTTTCTCTAATTCTAAGAAGAGATCTGGGTCATCTAACTTCCCAAAAAGATTTCATCTTTAGGTAATTTACTCTAATCCAGTTAGCCCAAATATTTTTCTTATCAGAGACAATGTACTAGATTTGCCTCAACATTAGGGCCTTGTTACAACTATGAAAATCTTTTAGTCTAATACCTCTTTCCTTTTTGATTGGCTAATAGTCTCCCAAGACACCTTAGAGGTTCCTTTCTTTAGCTCACTGCCAAACCACAGGAAGGCCCTTAGCAGTTGCTTAATTCTTTTCAAACCACTTTTGGAAAGGATTAGATCGCTTAACCAATAGCTTTGCATATTGCAAAGAATAGATCTCAAAAGTTGTAGCCTACTTGCATAAGAGAGAAATTTGTTAGTCCAACTTTTTATTCTAGCCTCATTTTATGCACCAGTATTGCACAATCCATTAGCCTCAGTTTAGTTGAGATGACTGGTGTAAGAGGCAAAAAAAACAAATGAGAATACCTCTTACAGGAATTAACAAATTGGTATATTTCTGAACTTGATCTCCCAGTCTTCCTTTACCTACAAAACGAACAAACTGCCCAAAATCGAAGTGTTTCGATCGAAGGCACTCTGATGCTTAAGTTAGTAAAGATACTGGAATGAATGGAAGAAGACAAGGAGAGTTCCACGTCCCTTTCACCTTGGATTATTCTATTTTTTATAGATAATCATCCCCTTAGGGTTTCCGTGATTTTTGATTCAAGATGGTACACCTTCCTTCAATTCAGTGATTTAGTTTGGAAAGTTGCTGATATTTCTCCAATATTTCCTCCTGATATCTTCAATTTCTCTGGTTCATTTATCTAATTGCCTTAGTTATAGGCGGATCTTTATCTTTCTATCTATCATTTGAAACAGTTCGAACATATCGGATGTCGAGCACACTCAATGTTTGCCGAACAGATTATGGGACTTGGTTTGGCACAAACCGACCTCTTCAATCGCCTTGCTGAACACTTTAACGGACTCGGCTTGGTACAAGCTGAGCTCTTACCTTGATTAGCTAAATTAGATTGATGAGCTCGACTATAAAGAGAACCGAACTCTTTCTTTCTTTACCAAGCCTATCGATCAGCACGACTCAGTTTATAAGGCTGTGTGAGTGATTTCTCCGTCAAGTGATCTGTCTTGTCAACCTCACATAAGTTTTATTTCATGTCATTACATGTGTAATGATGAGGGCAAACCCCTTCATTTGCCCCCAAAAAATGTCTGACAGACGTTTTTTGTCTGTCAGCCATTTTCTTATCTTTTCATCATCATTACTTGTATTTTGTAACACGCCCTTTCATTTTGGCAGTACATTCAGGGTATTTAAAATATTTCCCTTTAAAATTCCTCCTTTATAAACTGACTCTCTTCATATTTCATTCACTTCACATTTTTGCTTCTAGACATACCCTTTTTTCTGTGTTTTCTTCCTCTGAACTTCGTCTTCATCAATGGTCCCTCTTACTCCCTCAAAAGTTTCTACCTTCAAAATCAAGTATAACATCCCAGACGATGCTGAGGTTAGGGTTTTTGGGAAGGATGAACCCCTAATTGGCACAAGAGAGAGAATACCCATCCCTACTCGTGCCATCACCGAGGGTGGGATTTGTTTTCCTCTTGATCCTCTTCTTCTCTAGGTTCTCTCTGCTGCAAAACTTTGCCCTCTCCAATGCTGCCTTAAATTTTTTCGGATCGTCATCGGGGTGTCTTCTTTGAACAAGATTCTGGGTTTGAGTCTTGGGTTGTGGGTGATTTTGTACTGCTACATTATCAAGGCCACTGGAGATAGCTACTATCTATCAGCGAGGAAGAAGGAGAGGTATTTGGTAACCCACCTTCTAGATTCAAACAAGGGTCATAAGAATGATGTGGTGTTTGTCTCTGACAACTAGGAATACGCTCTTGGTGTCACTCCATCCTATCGCTGTCCCTACGAAGAAGGCATGCCAAGTATTTGATATCCTTTGCCTTCTGTTTTAACTTTGGTTTTCCATTTTCCTGACTTTGGGTTTTCTTCTGCATAGGTGAAACTATGAAGGGAATGATTATTGAGTCCTCTGTAAAGATGGACTAACTTCAGAAAGTTTAGAATTTCAATGAGACTCTATTCTACCGAGCCGCCCACACGCTGCTCGGGCACACTCCAACTTATACTTCCTTCATTGCCGTACCGAGTCGACCCAACACCACTTTGGCTATAGATCAGGAGGAGATCCAAACTACTTGGGCTCAGACTCCTCGAGCCAAGAAGAAGTCTCCTCTTACAATATCTGGGCGTAGGACGGTAAAAAATTTTCTTGACTTTCTATCAATTGTCGAACCGACCCCTTCCACTGAGCCGACTCCAACTACTCCAGTGATTCCAATTTTTTTTCTTGAGGAACCCATTCTAGAGGTTCCAACTGAAACTCCTCTTCTTAATAATGCTGATCCACCGACCATTGGCCAAGCAAATATGGCTCCCCAATTGAAACTTCAATTCCAATTGAGTTTGATCCTCCAAATTCTGTCCTTTCTCCAATACCCGAAGACGACTCAATTTTTGAACTTACTGAGGACCCTGCCTCGAAAAGCGGAGGATAGCCAAGTTCAAAGTGAGCCTTCCACCCGAGTCTTCCAATCCTCCCTTCTGACCAATCTTTAGGGCAAAAAAGAGGGAAATTACTGCCAAGGACTTCGCAATAGAAGATTTTAACGTTGCAGTGGGGATTGCCCAAGGATTGATTTTGCCTTGGGATCTGGCAATGAATGAGGCTCTTATTGACGATGAAGTGTCTCATCAAGCAATTCAACATATGGTTCTGGTAAGGCTTGATTCTGACTTCCTTTAAACTTTTTACTCTTTCTTAAAATTTTTCTATGTCTTTTCCCTCTTCATAACTATAAGAGTCTGCAAAAAGTCCATGAGGTCGGAGCTCGGATAGCTCGTAAAGATAAGGCCATGAAAGACGCCATCCATGCCCGAGCTTTGGCTTTGGCCAAGAAGAAGAGTGTGG